TTGGACAGTGAATAACGAAGAATGTAGAAGAATTGATGTTTTTGAGTTATGACGATAAAGGAGAATATTTAAAGTGCCATGGGCTGCCAAAAGAACAAACAGATCCATGTTGGAACAAGTGCAGCCAGTGTGCTCCTTGGAGGCCAGAATGGCCAGACTTTGTCTCTCAATACTTGGACATATTGTCAGGAGGGACCAATCACTGGAGAGGAATATCATGTTTGGTAAGGTGGAGGGTCAGAGAAAAAGAGGAAGATGCCCAGCGAGATAGACAGGCAAAGTGGCAGCATCAGTGGGCTCAAGTGTGGCAACAATTGTGAGGTTAGCCCAGGATTGGGCAGTGTTTCATCTGTTGTGCACAGGGTGACTATAAGTCGCTATCGACTTGATGGCACCTACAACAAAAACAACAAACCTTATGGAGCTATTGTAAGGACTCATTAAAATTTAATCCTATGACATATTTTAAATACTGTCTGACACAAAGCAAGTGCTACAGGATCAGCACTGGACTGCTAGCCACAAGGTTCATGATTCAAATCCACCAGCAGCTCCTTGGAAACCCTATACAGAGATGCTATGAGCCAGAACTTAACAACAACACTATTATTACAAGAAATCAAATGATGTATGACATTAGGCAAATCTGTTGCAAAAGACTTCTCCCTCTCTAAAGTGTTAAGAGCAAAGATGCCACTTTGAGGACTAGAGTACCCCTGACCCAACTCATATTTTTTTCAGTTGCCTCATATGTATGTGAAAGCTGGACAATGAAAAAGAAAGACAGGAGAAGAATTGAGCCATTTGAATTATGATGTTGGCGAAGAATGCTGAAAGTACCATGGGGCTGCCAGAAGAACAAATCCATTTGTTTTGGAAGAAGAAGAGCCAGAGTGTTCCTTAGAAGTGAAGATGGTGAAAACTTCATCTCATGTACTTCAGACATATTATCAGGAGACTCTAGTCCCTGGAGACGGACATTATGCTTGGTAAGGTGAGAGTCAGCTAAAAAGAGGTAGATTCCAATGAGATGGGCTGACACAGTGGTTGCAACAATGGCCTCTGACCTAAGAATGCTTGTGGAGATGGCTCAAGACTGAGCAGTGTTTTGTTCTGTTGTGCACAGGTCGATATGAATCAGAGCTGACAGGACAGCACCTAACAACTTAATGCATTTATTACAAGGGTTGTTGTTGTTGTTGTTAAGTGCCTCCGAGTCGGAGCCGACCCATAGCGACCCTGTACAGGGTTTCCGAGGGTGTAAATCCTTACGGGAGTAGAAAGCCTCATCTTTCTCCCGCGGAGCAGCTGGTAGTTTCGAACCACTGACCTTAAGGTTCGCAGCCCGATTCATAACCACTACGCTACCAGAGCTCCTTACAAGGGTAACAGGATAATAAATCTTTTGGGAAGAAAATATTTTTTCCCTTTACAAAGGTAGAGATATGAAGCTGAAGAAAACAACTTACATAAATGAGAGTTATTTCAACAAATAAAGTTTGACTAGGAATGCACAAAGTCGATGTGTTTTCATAAAATACTAGTGCTAAGTCAAGTACTTCTTTAAAGTATCACACTTGGAAAGAAATCAAAAAGCTTTCTGTATGGAGTTCATGTGAGAGAATAAACCTAAAGATGAAAAACTATGACTTCTATTTAGTCAAAGCTACTATTTCTAGAAGCTAAAAATTCCTAAAGGAAAATAACAGAAGCTCTTGGAGAGTCAAAAGATACATTCTAGAAATTCCAGCTCACAGTCCCTGGACCCTTTTACAACTGTCCGTACCAACTACCTTATCCTCTCACTTCTGTGCCATCACGCCCCACAAGTGACACACACCCATCTGCCAAGGTTCCAGCTGTTCTTCATACACCTTTCCCTCTGCTACAGTCTAGCTGGCTGCGTGGCTTAGCACTTTATAAAGTTCTTCATGTTTAAGTCAGATAGGATGCATTTAGACCAAACCATTTCTTGCAGCATATTATGTACAGAATTGTAAAGGGACACCCTTTGCCAATAAACAAGTTGTATATATTATTATTTTATTTATTTAAAAATTCCTAACTACAAACAAGAAGTTCCAAGGATGAACCCAACATCACAAATACCAGAGGTGTGGTGCAGCTAAGAGTTGTGTTCGGTTAATGAGTGCCGTGTGGGGAGAACAATGAACACATTTATAATCTGTACATACCCATTAGGATTAGTTTTCTATCCTCACCCTTAAATTGCTGAAGTCAAAGCTTCTAATTCAATTAGTATACTTTTTTGTAATGAAAGACCCCCTAACAGCTTCTCCAATGTACAGCCTACAGACTCACTGAATGCAAACATATTTCCAAAGCCCTAAAGCTTTAAATCTCAATTCTGAATCTTCCCTGACATTAACCAAGATCCAAAGACCTCGAATTTTCTAATAACTACTCCAATACCATCAAATTTACTTTTATTACACTTTCTCAGTATAGTAAACAGACACCAACTGTAGCCGGTTTTCCAGAGATGGAAAACATAAAGTACAGCTATAGTAGTAGCTCCAGGCCAGCAATTATGGTAAAACGACTGTTGACTTCAAGAACTATGGTACTGAGGTGCATGCGTCTTCAGTTTCCATTTTAAATGGTTGGCATCCTCTTTAACATTATCAAATATATTTATGGGAAGAAATGAAAGGCAGAAAGCTTTGAATTAAGCTTCTGGCAAGAGAATAAAAAGAGTATTGGTGTGGCACTGTGGGTTAATGCGCTGGATTGCAAAGTCGGTTTGAACTGCAAGGTTGGCAGTTCAAGCTCACCAGCTGCTCCTCGGAAACCCTATATAGGGTCACTATGGGTCAGAACCCACTCAACAGCACTTAACAATGATTTTGGTACAGATAATCACACAAATAAAATAATGTTGAGTAGAGTAAATTTGGAGTCCTGGTGTAGCACTGTGGGTTAGTGCCTTAGACTGCAAAGTTGGTTTGAACTGCAAAGTTGGGGGTTCAAGCTCACCAGTCACTCCTCGGAAAGCCTATACAACAGGGTCACTATGAGCTGGAACTGACTCAACAGCACTTAACAACAACAAGGTAAATTTGTAGATTCTTAGTGAGGGGAGGAAGATTAGGTAATCACTGATTTGACTACAATTTTTTCTTTGGAGTCACTGACAAAACCAGAGATGCTACCAATAGGAAAGCTAGGTACTTTGAGGGCTATGGACTGTGAGTTTCTCACCGCAGATCAATGCCTGTCAGAGCTACAGAACATCAGCATCGTAGCACACACTTAATAATCAGCAGCTACAGCTGCGGGACTCTTACTCCACTCAGTTCTAGTTTTCCTTTTTCCCACCAACCAGTTTATTTAGCTCCTAAATAGATTCCCCAGCTTTTCAGATACCCCAAGTGCCACAAACATGGATTCGACTCTACTTTGGTCGATAAATACATTGTCTTTTCATACATGGTCTTTATCTTCAGGTTAAAAAAAAAAAAAAGAAACCAACCAAACTATTAACAGGTCAGAGGTGGAAGAAAGGAGAGGAGGCCATCTACTCATTTACCTTGGTCATTAGGCATTTTATCAGAGGAGTCCGCTAACAGGTCAAGCACAGGGGAAGAAAAACAAGAGCATGGGTCACAAACTTTGAAGAAGGGACAGACAGAATTCTAGAAAACAAATAAAGCCCCCCACAAGCGTCTAACCAAGTAAGCCTTGTTTACAGTGCTGCAGAAGAGAAATCCCATTTCCAGACTCACTGCCCAACTGAATTGTACGAAGAGGGCTTCAAAAACTTCCTGGACAAATTCCAGTCTCTTTTCATTCTATTTTTCCAAGAACATTTTAAAACCCCTTCATGGTCACCTAAGTTCACCTGGTTCAATATTTTATCTTCATTTTCTTATGTAGGGTATTCCTTAAAGAGCTCCTTTGACTCTTTCCCGCTACAAAATTCCACACACACACAAAAACACCTTTCAGGTTTAACAGTCTGCATGTGTAGACAGATTCATCCATCACAACATTACTTCGTATGGGAATCAAGAGAAATCACATCTGATCTGATTGGAGAAACCTGTACACCACTGCAATTCACCTGACCTACACAGCCTGGAGTGCAAGTTCCACTGTGTACACTACGGTTAGGCTCACAACCTTGGGAGCGCTGATTTGGTGGCGAGTGGGCAAGGAACCTTACTGAGGGCAATCCTCACACTATGGTTCACAAGCTCATCATGAGGGCTTCTTATAAAACTGAAGTGTGCAAGTACTGCCCCAGTAACGAGACTTGTAATAAAATTCTACTTGGGGAGTTTTACCTTTGGGTGTTCGGAATTGAACGGCTTCGGACATGGGCCCCATGCCCTTTGAGTTCCGGGCTTGGATTTTGAAGTAGTATGGCGTGTCAAGCGTTAACTCTTGTATCTGGTGAGTCAGTCTGTTTCCCACAACAGGCTCAATAACCCAGTCATGTATCTCTGCGTTGACATCTGTACTGTAATAGATGATGTAACCTGTGCAAAGGAGTTAACGGGGAAACGACTCATTTCTGCTTTGCCTTTTGCAATCAGTAAGTCAGTGAAGATTCATATTACAAATATACAAGCAGAGAACCAGCTACCAGCTGCTGATCAAAGAGCAACAGCAAAACCCACTCTAAACGCTATGCTTATCATAGCTCACATGCTCCTCACAGAGAAGCTGATCCTTTCAACAGTGCAAGTCCATAAAGTTATCACTGCCTCAGTGCTTGAAGTAATAAAGGTGGCTTAGATGAAAATACAGGCTCAAGTACCCTCAAAACACAAAACAAAACAAAACCCACTGCCACTGTGTCAATTCCGATGAAGAATTCACAAATGATAAGAAATCATTTAAGGAAAAGAGTCAATCACTACTCCAGCATCTTAAGGAGTATCTGGTGTGGCACTGTAGGATAAGCCCTGTACTGTTAACTGAAAGGTTGGTAGATCAAACCCACCAGCTACTCCTCGGAAACCCTACACAGGGTCACTGTGAGTTAGAACTGATGGCACTTAACAACAACATCCTCATCTTCAAAATATGTACCTTGAAGGCTCTACAATGAAAATAATTGTAGTTTTCAAAACCAGTATTTGCCTAAATTTGCTGTTTTAACTCGCACTAATGTGACTGTACAAAAGAAAAACTCCTGGGAAGTGGGAAGCAACCAGTTCTAAGTTCTCCCAGATTTGGGGTGCGTGAAGTCAAAGTGAAGTGTGACCTGCTACCTCCACCAGAGGGCACTCAATTCTCGCTGTTGCCTCAGGAAGAGCCATAGCCACAAGCCTCTCTGACTTGCACAATGGTGTTACTGATTTTTAAAGACAAAGTAAAAAGCCAAAAAAAAAAATTTTTTTTTAAATTTTTAAATAAAAGTAGTAAATTCATAGCTTTAAGAATGACATAAAGACCAGGGATTTATGGGAGCCAGAGCAGAACAGTGCTAAGAAATGCTTTCAACCTCCTTGGACTCCTTATACATATAAGGAGCAGAGATCCAAAGGGGGAAGAAGTAACAGCTAAATCCTAGATCAAACGTTTCTTCTGATGACACTGAGGAAGGCCTGGTGTCCTCTTTAAGACCAAGGGTCTAGCAATTCAAACATTAGTTCTAATTGTAAGGGCACAGGAAATTGAGAGGCAAGACTGAGTGGAAAAAGAAATTGCAAGCCTAATGGACTTTTTTAGGCTTTAGGGTATAAAAAATCACAATCTCTATTTATTAGGTATTATCTTCAGGGTTGCTATAAGTCGAAACCAACTTGATGGCACTTAACAACAACATGTAGAATAGGGCAGGAGGCTAAGGCTATGAAGAACAGCTTTCCTGGGAAAAGCAAATCTGTCCATAGACTTCCACCATGGCCAAAGACATCCCATCTCCTTCACATATTCAGGTGGTGTGAGTCAGAACAAGTTGACAACTGCTTTTCATGCTACTGTGTGCAAACAGCAGTCCATGCCCCAATCTTCAGGAGCATTGTGACTCTCACCACTCACTGTACTCAACCGCCAGGCTAGCCCCCGACACTTACTTCTCCCAACAATCTCAGCATGACTCCCCTCAAATGCTTCTGCCTGGCAGGTACAGGGCTCAGACAAATGCACCCTCCAAGACCTCGTACCTGTAATTTTGCCATTGGCTTCTGAGGGAGGCTGCCAATTCACAATTATAGTTCTAGGTTTTCCCTCTTTACTCACAACGGTTACATCCTTGGGTGGAGACGTAGGAACTGAAAAATAACAATACTTTCAATAATCCATGTCCATTGTAACTTACCCTCTTATCGGTTCAATCCTTTCCATTTATAGGAAACTCTAAAGGGTACAAGGCCAGAAAGAGAAAGCTTTCTCTGACCTCAAAGAACTCACGGTGTATAAACTGCTTGGGGGGAAAAAAAAAAAAGAATGTGCAAAGCATCACAAAGACAATACCATATTACTAGCGTCCAGAATTGGCATCTGAGCTAGGGGCCAAGGATATTGAGGATGGGCAGGCAGATAAATCAAACGACATTCTTACCAAGTGCCTACTATATATGCTTGGCATTTTACAAATAACACCTCACTTACTATTCATAGCAGTTTTGAAACGTAGCTATGACTATCCCTTGCTTTATACATGAGGAAGGAAGTCAAGCGTGAGAGACATTATGTAATTTGCCTAAGGTAACATCTCTTCTACCCCCAGATGCGTGCTATTCTGTTAAAATGATTTTTAATTGTAAAATAATTTTGTCTCTCATTTATATATTCTAAACTAAACGACTTTTATAAAGTTCCAATTACCCCAAAGAATAATTTACAAATTGATGTTTTTCATTTTAAATTTACACTTAAAATACACCGCCAACTAGTGATTCTGCTCTGAAATGTAAAGCTATTTATGGAGCAGAAAAAGCAATAAAATAAAGATGACTGTATAGTTCTTATGATTCCATAATATGGCTAAAGACTTTAAAAGTACTAGTAGGGAAACGAGCAAATTAAGGACATGCCTCAATGCACTTCTATTTCCCTAAAATACAGGAACTCTTCCCTTATAAAATGGAAATGTAAACATCCTCTGGAAAAACACAATCTCATTCACTAGTGAATGAGTTGGAATTAAGGCCAACACATGTTTATAATTGGCAGAGAAAGCAAACTCAAAGTCTACTTAAGCTTTTGTTCACTGAATGTCTCGCCCTCCACAGCCACCCCTTTACTTTGTAATGTCTAACTATACAGAAGACAAACAGATGTTAGGATCAAGCCGTGTTGGGGAAAATTTATAGCTCCATTTTTTTCATATATGAGAGGGGCTCTAAATTTCATTAGCCTTAATTTCATTTTTCCACAAACTTTCTGAAGCCTTCTCATGCAGGGTAGGGAGAAATAGGAGGCCACAATAGACAGAAATTCCCAATATCTGCATATATTACCAGGCTAGGAAAGTCCAGAGAGTGGAGGGATTAGGCTTCAAAGTGACCAAGAAGCAAACAGAACCTCAAACTCAGGTGGCTTGATCGCTCCTAAGTTTGACTTTTCTTTTGTTTCTCTTGTCCACCTTCAAACAAAAAAACTCCTATGGATATTTCCATGGGAGACACGAACTGGTTTGTAAGAAAGCTACAGCAGCAGCTTAGAGGTCAACTGGTACAGTGGGCAGGCTCTAGGGAGTATGGTACTGCAGCTGCTTGGTGAAAGGGAGGCTGCTTCATCTTTTCTATACAATTTCCAGGTAAAGCAGGATTCCTGACAATAATCCCTTATATCTGCACAGTGTTTTCCAATCTGCTCCTCATTGTATTTTTACAGGAACACTGTACAGTGGGGGGAAAGCCAAGGCTTCCTACCCTCTTTCTATAGATGGAAGAATCCAAGATTCTGAGAGACTGGGTGACTTGTGGCAAAGCTGGGATTGAACTCAAGTCTCTCGATCCCTGAAATCGAGTACTCATTTGCATTTTATCGTTCTATTGTTGGCTAATGTTTTCTTACAGTGATTTAAGAAACGCTGTAATTCATTAGATGAAACAGCATACACGAAACTCGAAACTCCAATTACAGGTGTTCCCTGTGTTCTATAAACATGCAAATTCACACTCAAGTCTTCCCTTGGGTAGTAAAGGCAGATGATGAGCCATGTCTATGCCTTGGAAGGTAACTGCATGAATTTCTGCTGGCTTTCCATCTTGCAGCGAGAAGCAATCCTCTGATAGATAACACATACCTAATTCAAAGGTGGTTCCATGGGCTGTCATACTCCATGTGCTTGATCGCCGACCTTTGGTCACCATCACAGAGAATTCATAGAGTGTATTTGGTTTTAAACCAGTCACCAAATAATTCAAAGTTGTTGCATTTGCATTCTGGAAAGATAGGATGAATCAAAAACTTTAGAATTGGAAAGTATCAATAATTAGCTTTCCTCACCCAGAGCAAATAAATGCGTCAGTACCTTGTACTTCGTGTTTGCAGGAATATTGGTTTTCCAGCGGACTGTGTAGTACCGGGAGTCTGTAATCTTCTGGTGTTTGGGCAGTGAGTTGTCCGCCCAGGTAATCCTGATGGTGTCATGACTCAGAATGGAAGCCTGAACTCCCACTGGGGGCATCATGGGAGTGGGATCTGGCACTGGAGTGTATGGAGCATTAATAACAAATAAATCAACTTCAGAAGTGTCTGGGTAGAAAGTAATTAAGAAAGGGAAGTGGTATTTTAACGTAAACAAAAAGAAAAGAAAAGGGAAATGCGGGTCGTGTAATGGAATGAGAGGTGAGAAATGGAGAAAAAGAAATAAAATCTGGAGTTAATAGTAACCAGCATTCATTTACAAGAATATACCCACTTGGGTTCTTTCAGGAAAAGTCTGTAGGAAAATGGCTACAGACGCAGTACTTAATTATATTCTCCACAAGCATATATCCAGTGATAGTAACTTACTCAAGTTTGGATTTTCTTAAAATAACTTGCATAGTCTATCTCCTATATAAAAAAGATCATGAAAAGATAGGAAACTTGGTCTTAAACTTCTGAATTAGCAACATACAGTATAAGGTCTGTTTGATATTTCAGTGAATGTGGCTGGATTTTCAGGACAGATTTCAGGACATGGAAGAGTTCTATGTCAGCCCATGGCAACTGAGCCTGGCCCGGGTTCTGAGGGGGTAGGATACCCACTGAAGGGTGAATTCACATCAGCTGACATCCATGTCAAAGGTCAGCACAGGTTTCTCTGCTTTTCAAAGGGTTGTTTTAAAATATCTTCACTTTTATGAAGGACCTACATTAGTACCTGTTTTTTATAACTGAGAGAAAGGATTTTCACTTTAACAAAAAAAGGGTTCAGAGTTCATTTTGCAGCAAGCCGCCAAAGAAGCATTGAGCACCCAGGCAGCTAGTGCGGAGGCACCAAGCTCCTTCCCTGGGAACTACACTCAGCATCACGCCGTCATAGTTTTGAATTGTGTCTGTGAACACCACATGCTAGTGTTATTTTAGGCTTTATGTGTTATTTGGTATGACTTGGTGGGTTCTTTTTGGGGTCAGAGGACACTCAAAAAATTTCTTGTATAAATAAATGGTAACTGTTTCCTTATTTTACAACAATTCTGTTTATGAAAGTTTTCATAGGACTCTTCTATTTTTGAATAGCAGGGGAAGCTTGAGCACCAATATGGCTCCCATCCAAATAAAGCAAAAGAAACTCAGGAACTTTTACTTGAGGAAAGGGAAGCTGACAGTGTATGCTGGAGTGGCTACTGCACTTTCTTTAGTTGTTGTTGTTGTGTGCCATGGAGTCGGTTCCGACTCATAGTGACCCTGTATGGGGTTTCTGAAGCTGTAAATCTTTATGGGAGCAGAAAGCCTCATCTTTCTCCTGCAGAACAGCTGGTAGTTTTGAACTGCTGACTGTGAGATTAGCAGACCAATTCGTAACCACTATGCTACCAGAACTCGTTTAATACCCGCTGATGGATCCAATCATTTAGGGGAAATGGGTATCAGAGGTGCAAGTGGTAGAGCCTTTAAGAACATTGGAAATTAGAATAAGTCGGGGGAAAGTCCAGTCTATACACATGTGGGCTGTGCCGTACACAATGGACACATTCTCTACGCATCAGTGCCAACAGAGGCCAGAGGGAGCTAAAGGCACGATGGACCATGAGTCCAGTGCAACGAAGTAGGGTCCGTTTGGATTTTTAAAACTTTTTATTAGGTTTCCTAAGTATCCATACACTGATTTATTTTAAGCTTAAGTTTAAAAATGAGTTCCCATAGCAACTCTGTGTAGAGTTTACGAGGAGCAGCTGGTGGGCTTGAACCGCCAACCTTGTGGTTGGTTTGCAGTTCAGTGCTGATCCTCAAGCGCCACACCAGACCAGTCCTTCTTAAAACTCAAAATCTGAAATGGCACAGGCCTTGTTTGTGACTTATTGCCAAGCTAAAGTAATAGTACTCATTTGTGTAGTTCCTACACAATGAAGACTAAAAATAACTGGAACGGCACACATTATAATCATGGGCTTTGCTCAAAGGCTGTCAGGCATTATACCAACTAGTTACCGAAAATGCACCTCCAGGTGCAAAAATCCTAGAATTCTTTGGGATTTTTTTTTTTTTTAATTTATAGCAACTCTTAGAAAAGATAACTTAGTTTACATGGCTTAGGAAAATGTCCTTGCATATTTCTAGTCAAAAGTTGATTTTTAAAGAAGTTATAATAATAAAAAAAATTCAAAAATTTTCTTTCTATTGTAACTGATGCAAGAATGTAAAGCAAGTCACTTATTTAAACATCCTCTTTTTTTCCTTTCTTAACTACCATAGCAAAATTTTAAAAGAACTTATAAATTATAAGCACACAGGAGCAGAAGACAGGACAGAACTACCAAACATCTAGTAATTGCGCTGGTCTTGTTAAGTAGAAGTTTTAAAAATAACAACAACAATAAAAGAGGCCAGAGGTAGCTTAACAAAACAAAGAAAGACATTGCCAAATTTGCACTACTATGGAAAGCATCCAAGAAACGTAGCAGGGATTATAGATTTAAAATTCTGGGAAACAAATGGAAAAGAACATTTATGAACATTATACATTCTCTGGTTTTCAGTACCACTAAAAATTCTAATATAGTTATTGCAGTAAACTTTTCTCATCCAAAGAGAAATTGGATGTTTCATGTATGTATTTAATATATATATATATATATATATATATATATATATATATACACACACATATCTGTAGAAAATTTACATTGACATGCATATTCCTTTATTTTGAAGGTATCTCAAACTGATAAATTACAAAGTACAACAACACTTTGTCTTTTCTGTAGTAAATGTATTATCAGATGGATAGAACTTCTGGCTTGCTACTATTTAAAACTTTTGAAAAGCAAATAGAAAAATACTTTTCCAGCCAGCTCAGACGACTAGTGAAACAAATGTTATATCTACCAATCATATGCACTTATTAGCACCATTGTAACTTAGACAATTCCTCCAGAGATATGGATTTCTTTTCATTGAGTGATTCATTTTAATTGTAACTCAAACTACCAAAAAATGGAAAATCACTACATGAGTAAATCTCTTTAAAAAAAAAAGCAATATGCTTTTCCTTCCACTGATATCTATGAGATAGGCCAGGACCAACACTCTACGGTTAGTCCCGGGGTTAAGAACATCCACTTGATGGACAACTTGTATTTGTCCTTTAACAGCATATATATATTTGCCCTCACTTTGAAATGACTCAATCAACCCCGACTTGAATCAGATTCTTTACCACAATCGCCTTCATTTGCAGCACGTGCAGATTTTAAATCACTGTAAAGGTTCCAGTCTTTTCTTGCACTAATATAAGACTAAAGAAGGACTGTATGCACGTGTTTCAGTTTAATCTGCAAATTCAACTTAAAGACACACTTAGGAACGGATATTGTTTGTAACCCAGGACTACCTGTACTTAGAGCTCCTGGGAAAACTGCTGAAAACCAGGCAGGGAAGGGTACCTTACCTGTGTGAGGTCTGGTCACAGCACTCTCATACAGCGGGATGCCTTCGCCCACATTGTTAAATGCTTTGAGGGTAATCACATAGTGAGAGCTGGGATCTGAAGAAAAGAAACAAGGTAAAACAAATTCCTCCAGACAGAATCCATGCATAACTGGGCACATGTGGAGGGAGTCAGGAAGAGGGATTCTTTTTTTCTTTTTATGTGAGATTATTTTGGGGTGGGAAAATATGTGGAGATGGCACACACAGTATAGAAAAACACTATGAGGTCAACTCAGTGACCCTATATAGGGTTTCCGAGGAATGGTAGGTGGGTTTGAACTGCCAATCTTATGGTCAGCAGTCAGGTGCTTATCCTATAGTGCCACACCAAGACTCTAGCTAAATACCCCTTCTCTTCCTCAGCACACTGAACTTCAATTATTTTGTAACGACATTATTTCTAGTAACTGGAACCAGGTCTCCTCGATTTCCTGCTTTAACTCTAGCATAGTGTTGGGATGATGTAGGTTTTCATTAAATATTTGTTGAGTCTGAGTGAGAGAGAAGACACTGACTTTAATTTATGACAAGCTGAATATTGGATATATCCAGGTATAGATATCTAGCAGGCAGATGTTTATGTAGGTCTGAAGTTTAGAAGTTCACTCTAGTTTGATGAGTAAATGAATTCCTAAGTGGATTTCTTCTCCTCTGATCTGCTTTTTTTGTTCAACATTATATGAAGGGGCTTCAAGAAGTTTCTTGCAAAGATTCCATTGTTTTTTTGAAAGGCTCTTCATATGTGTTTGAGCTGTACCAATGTTAACGGATATCCACACAGCGAGCTCTAACTTCTTTTACATCGAATGGATTGTTTTTGCTTCTTCTTCCTTTTAGTATCTTCAGAACATGTAGTGCGGTGCTCCTTCGCATCTCTGGTTTCAAATACTACTCTAACTCAAGCTTTCATGCACAGGTTAAGCACTGCTGAACTCTGCACTGGTAGCGCCCCTTCTCGGAACATACTTGACTTGGTTGTTTCTTGTGCTTTGCTTGTGTTCCGCTATTAGACTGAAAGCACCTGAAGGTCAAGGACCATGTCCTGCCTACACTGCAAAGGATTTTCACTTCAGTGATACATAAAGGAAATAGCAGGAGGCTGGTCACCCCAGGGACGTTTTTATTCAACCAGCAAAGCTTTTCTTTTGCTTTCCCACAACAGCCTTATGCTGTTTCTTCTTGGAAGGAAAATGAAAAAAGTATGTTGTGTTTTTGAATAAATCACTAAATTGCTGCTTATTTCTATCAGAATGATAAAGATAACTTATTTGTTACACACTTAAAGTTGCTCTAAAGAATGATGTTCATAAAGAAATTCTTTGAGTAACAAACTTTGGTCAGATTCTAAATAAAAAGGCAAGTTTTTAAAGATCTATAATGGTAATTCAATTTGGAAGAGTAATTAAATGCATTCTCTATTTTAAAGTATATTAATATTACTCATTTCTTTTATTCTTAAAATCAACATTGAAGTATAAATATACAATAAAATGTACTGATGGAGTTTGTTGAGTTTTGACAAACATGATGAAGCTCCAAAAAGTTTATGAAAAATGGAATTTTCCCACAAACTTTTTGAAGACCTTGTATACACATGAGGGTAAGTCAAAAAGTATTGCTTCTAGGGTTCCAGCGCATACATGCATGGGTTTATTCCAAACACAATGTGTTTAAAAATGTCTCTGTGATCAGTGGAGGGCTGCAGGCAAGTTCGCTCAATAATGCACTTGGTTTAGTCTCATTAGAGCACCTTCAAAAGCAGATACAATCACAATAGTGACTTCTGACAGCTTCTGTTGGACAAGTTACATTCAAGACAAATCAGCTCAGAAGGTTATGGGAACTCTATTTTGGAACTCTAAAGAGGTCACCTTGATAGATTTTGTTAACGGACACAGGATGATCATGGGAGCTGATTAGGGAGAAGTGATAAGAAAATTGAAAACTGCACTGGTGAAGAAAAGGCCAAGAAAAGTTGTGCCAAGGAAGTGTTTCCCCATCATGACAATACACTTGCTCATTCTTTGAGAGTAGCAAGGGCGGTCCTAGGAGAATTGTGTCGGGAAACCTCACCCCATCCACCCTATTGTATTGATTCTTGCCTCTTCAGATTTCTTTTTGTTCCCCAAACTCAAAGAATGTTGAAAAGGGACACAATTTTGAGTTCCTCAAGGATGCCAAAACTGCCGTTCTGACATGGTGTACGTCAAAGAGCTCAGAATTCTTCCAGGAACAGTTAGAGAGATGGAAAGACTGCTGTCAGAAGTGTATAGACCTAGATGGAGGATATGCTGAGAAACAACAGTTTCACATTTTAATATTTTTGTCTAATGACGGTTTCTATGATTTAGTTGTTAAGTGTCATTGAGTCAGTTCCGACCCACAGTGACCCTGTATAGGGTTTCTGAGGAGCGACTGGTGAGCTGGAACCACTGATCTTGTGGTTTAAGTCAAACTTGCAGTCCAGCACATTAACCCGCAGTGCCACTTTTTGACTTACCTTCATAAACCCGTGTGATTACCATCAATATTTCTAACATTCCAAATAGTTTCCCTGTGCCCCTTGCCCTTGCAATAAGTCCCATATTCCAGGGTCCACTTTGTGTCACTATAGATAAGTTGTTTATTCTATAATCACATAAAGATGTAGTTATGTGATTTTTGGGTTTTTTTACTCAGCATAATGCTCGTGAGATTCATTTCTGTTGCTGAGTATTATCAATTGTTTATTGCTTTTCAGTGCTAAGTAGTTACCATACTTTGCTACTTGGATATTAATAGACATTTGTATGATTTCCCCTTTGGGGCTATTGTAAAAAATAAGCTTCTAAACTGTTTTCCAGATGCTTCTCTAATCAGTTGTTCCCACCAGCAAATATCAAGAGCTTCAGTTGTTCCCTATTTTTGCTGCTATTTGGTAATGTCAATCCATTACATTTAAGCCATTCCAGTGGGCATGTGGAATCCTGGTGTGGCATTGCAGGAGAATGCGCTAGACTGCAAGGTCAGTTTAAACTACAAGGTTGATTGTTCAAACCCACCAGCCGCTCCTCAGAAACCCTATACAGGGTTGCTATGAGTCAGAACTGACTCAGCAGCCTTAACAAGGACTTCTGGTGTGGCACTGTATGATCAACACTGGACTGTGAGCCACAAGGTTGGCAGTTCAAACCTACCAGTTGCTCTTTGGAAATTCTAGGCAGGATTGCTATGGTTTGGAACAGACTCGGTGGCACTTAAAATCACAGCAACGGCTGCTCTTTGTCAGAATCTACTTGAAGACACACAACAACATAAATGCTAAAAGTAGCAAGTCAAAGTTTGATGGAAAACAAGATATTTATAAAGACTCAAGGTGTTTCCGCCACAAGCCACTTAATAATCACAAAGGAGAAAATAATCCCTATAGTGGGAAAACCTGGCATCTACCAATGTAACATGGTTTACAAGGTTAACATTACCAGCCACAAGTTAAACAGGCATCATGTGCCTCCTGACACGACAATGTAACATGGTTTACAAGGTTAACGTTACCAGCCATAAGTTAAACAGGCATCACGTGACTCCTGACATGCTACACTAACAACAATGCAACACTTCTGTGCTATTTGTCACCAAAATTCACAACCTGGATTCTTAACCCGAGGAAATATGACACAAATCTGAATTAAGGGACAGTCCACAAAATACAAAGGACCATGACAAACAAAGATTGAGGACTTGTACTATGTCAAAGAAAACTGAAGAGAGAGACCTAATAAACCTGGACTAGAAAACAATGGTTTTTCTTTTGTTATGAAGGACATTAGTGAGACAACCTGCAAATGGGAATGAAGTCCATAAATATGGGCACAAAGTTAATACGGTGATGTTAATAACTGTACTATGATTACAATAGAAACTGTCCTCATTTGCAGGAAGTGTTCATTAAAGTACTCAAGGGTAAAGGGGTAGCATGTGTGCAACTCTCAAATGGTTCAGAAAATAAGTGTATAGATGGACAGAGAATGATATAGCAAATGTGGTAAAAATGTCAGCCTTTGGGATTCTGGTGAAGGATATATAGGAATTTTTGTACGGTTTTTGCAACTTTTCTGTACAAATAAATGCCAAAATAAAAAGTTAAGAACAAACAAAAAAAATCATACAATGACTTCCTCTATTTCACATACTTACCCAGATTTTCAATGGTGTAATAGCGCTGTTTGTAGTCCACTTTGATGGTCTGGGCATGAGGGCTGCCAATGCCATAGCCAATAGCATAGCCTCTGACCACAATGTTCTGGTTCTCTGGAGGAGTCCAACTTACGACGATACTAGTGACAAGCGGGCGGACATGAAGAGAACTAGGCACTTCAGGAACACGAGTTTCTGGGAAGGAAAACAGAAAAGGAAGATGTGATCCACCTTCCCTTAAGGGTGGAGCTCAGCCTCTTGCCAAATCAGGTTGTGACTGAGTGTTTTCCATTATTCCCAAGAGTTTAAAACGAACGTGTATGCACACTGAGATCAGGTCCATGGCTTTCCCGCATTCTAAGGAGATAATACAACCCAACCACGACTATCATGGATTCTGACAGCATGGTTAGAAAACATAGGGCACTGCAAAATTAACTCGGGAAGGAAAGACAAACAGATTCAAGAATGCTTGCTTAATGGATAAAAACAAGCTGTCTTTCAGTATTTCCTTACCCCTTTTGGTCCCACATCCCAACTCCAAACTCTACCAGGTAGAATGAGAAAGGCATAAATCCCAAGTAATTAGAAGCCTGTTGTCAACAGGTGGACAAGAATTACATTACAGCAATGTTAATCAATTTTTTATTCCTCTAAGTAATGTAAGTCAGAAAATATGAAATATTAGAAGCACAAATTGATTCAAATGGTAAGAGACAAAGAAGCTTAAAAAGGTGACATTTACAGTATCTTTCATGTCGTTATTTCAAGGCATAGACTACTGTCTTAGTATGAAAATTAGTAAACTGAGACTTAGAAATAAAACTCAGGTCTTTTGTCTCCCAATTCCAACACCTGTCATGGACACAGGAGCCACTCGTTAAACAAACAGAGGAGAAAAAAAGCAAGGTGTCCAGGATGAAGGGAAAAGGGAAAGGCCACTGAAAGGAAGACAAATTTATGTGCCTCATCCACTTAATGGCTTTGGTTAAAAAACAAAACAAAACATAACAAAAAACACCTGACCCAGAGCACCTGTCTAATTTTCATTTGTTTAGGTTCTGCGTAAAGGGACAGTACTCTGAAAGCTACAGGAAAAACACACAAAAAACATTTCAAGAGCTCCTCTGTAACACAAGATGATAGCAGTTCAAAGATTTAAGTCATATATATCCAAACGTCTATCAGTTTCCAGATTAACTCATTTGATACAGTTAGTGCCCAGAATGTATTCCTCCTGCCATTTGTTGTTCTTACCATCTAAGTCACTTTCGAAAGTTTCAGCAGACAGCCAGTCAGTAGCTGGGCCTGTGCCATTGATCGTCAGAGCAGCCACACGGAAATTATATTCAGTCCCACGATCAAGACCTGACCCCCAAACAAGAAAAAAGACAAGCTGAAACAAAAGCTTTGAAAAATCAAGAGATTAATAATGGCTCATTAAAGCAGATAGCTTACCTATCAATTTAGTAAGACCTGGATATTCTACTTATTGGGGGCCATGTATACAGCTATTATCCTGATAAGGTTTCAGTTAAAGTCAAAATGTTGTTGTTAAGTGCCATTGAGTTGATTCTGACTCTTAGCAACCCTTGTATATAGGGTCTCAGAGGTGGTAAGTCTTTACAGGAGCCTCTTGTGGAGCGACTGGTAGATTAGAACTACCTATCTTGTGGTTAGCAGTCCAGCGTAGAATCCACTATGCTATCAGCAAAACAAAGCTACAACACAGAGGAGCTAGCACCCACCTCCGAAGGAGTCTGAAGCCCACACTTTCCAAGAGGAGAAACGGAAATGAGTACAGCTTCAAGAGATTTTTTTTTTTTTTTAAACGAGCTAAAAGGCACTTTGTTGTTCTTGTTAAGTGCAGCTGAGTCGGTTCCAACTCACAGAGACCCTATTCAGGGAGTCTCCACTTTAGCAATCACTTAATCCAATCCCCTCATTTTGTTACCAAGGAACCTAAGGTCAAAAAGAGGCTGTGGATAATGAAAAAGTTATCGCAAAGGAAGACATCAGTTGACCTCAGAAGGCACCAATAGCCAAAAAAGAATGCAAAGATAGCTTAGCTTCTTCTATCTGGTTACTTTTGCTCTCTGAGCTACCCCATCAACACAGCTGAGAAATGTCAACTACTAAACATTGAAGGGGCTTCAAAAAGCTCATGGAAAAACGGAATAAAAAATAATGGAATTTTGGAGATGGGGTTTAAGCATTGAGTTAAGCCCTCCCTGTCTCCACTTGCAAGCCTCTTTCCTATAATAAACCTTTGCTCCTAAGGATACTCCGTCTCATGTATTTTAATCAGTAGAGAGCAAGACACCTCTATTCAAGAGAGAGATGTGTTGGCACTCCCTATAGCAGATATTGGAGACCACAAACGGAGGGACAAATTAGTTCCATGCCTGGACCTGAAACTCCTGAGGAGGGGATTGCCTGAGCCTCATGAGCTGGAATGGTGTCCCTCCACCTGGTTAGTACTCATGTGGTGCTGGAGGATAAGCACTGGACTTACTTCGAAACACAAGGTCGGCAGTACAAACTCAACAGCTGCTCCTTGAAAACCCTGTGCAGAATCCCTAAGAGTCGGGAACCAACTCAAAGGCATTTAGCAGCAACAGCACTGTTCTATAGAGTTTGCAAGACTTGACGTTCTGAGGGCTGACTCTCAGAGCACTTCCTGCATGCAAACTTCTGCCTCAGAGTAGATTTCCTGAGATCTCAATCTGTGATATGCTGCTTTATCGTTCATTTCAGCAACGGATGATCCCAGGACCATCATTAAGGAAGAGCATGAGTGGAGCATGGGATCCCTGCCTGGAAAAGCAACTACAGCAGAGATGGCAACAGAGGCCAAGGCATGGAAAGACAACGCAGCTCTGGACTCTAGGTTCATAGACTGAGTACAGCTGTGTGCTTGCAGGCAGGAGAGTGGCTTGCAGAATGTGCCCTTTGGACATTTAAACAAATACATATGCTTTGTTTTATAAGCGTGCATCAAATATTTTTGCTTTGCTCATTGTTACATATAAGATGTAAAGGGGCCAGTGTGTTTTCAGAGGTATGTGTTTTAGTTATATCATGTTAGGTGTAGGTATGACTATAATTTTCATTATTTAGCGATTATGAATATAATAGCTTATTGGTTTCAAGTTGACAAGTGTGGAATATAATGGTTAGGATTTTGTGTCAACTTGACTAGGCCAGCATTTCCAGAGAGTTAGCAGTTGGGATGTGCTTATTCCCATGGTGATGAAAGCTAATCCAGGCATAGTTAGCTTTATGATGAGCAGCTTCCTTGAAGTTGTGGTCTACTCCCAATACAATGGACATGCAGGTGGGCCTCCCTCTCTGTCTTCCACCAGGTTCCTGGGACTCCAAAATTGTAAGCCATTTCCTTGGTAATAAACATATATAGATATATAAAAGATAATGGAATTTCTCCACAAACTTTCCCCCCCCCCCCAGAGTTTAGGAATTAATTTGTCCCAAAGTTGCTGAAGCAAAAACCACGATAAAACATCCTGCTTGCCTTTACACCCCCCAACTAAAAAAAAAACAAAACAAAAACCAAAAAAACTATTTGTAGGAAAAAAATGGTTTTGTACATGGGATAAAACTTAATATAAATTCAAATCCAGTCAAAACCACAGGGCAGCTCCCTTTGAAATGTGTTCCGTAGAATTTCTAAGTAGACCACAGGGCTACTGTCTCGGAATGTCCTCAGAAGGCTCTGTCATGATCCGGTAACAGAGTAAAAACCCCAGAGTCCTTGCTTTCAAATGGAAGAGGGAAAAGATAGGGATGGAAGATCTACTCAAACTTCATCTTCTTTCCTTGTGGCTTGTGATCTCCTCCTCCTCCTCTGCCTCCCTGGAAGCCTCCTCGCCCTCCAAATCCTCCCCGGCCTCTGCCACCAAATCCACCCTGGCCTTCTCTGCCATGGCCGCCTCTGCCTCCAAATCCTCCCCAGCCTCTGCCACCAAATCCACCCTGGCCGCCTCTGCCTCCAAATCATCCTCGGCCTCCACCTCATCCCCCGAAGCCACCTTCACCCTTAGGCTTGGCCCAGTCCAAGGTAACTTTGTTTCCATCAATTTCCCCATTCTCCATGGCCTCCTTGGTGGCTTTAGCATTTTCTTCACTGTTGATGTCTACAAACCCAACCCCTTTGGAGGAGTTGGTTTCACAGTCTGTGACTATCCTGGCGCGAACAGACCCATCAAATGACTCCTTCAATGTTGTCCTCAGACAAACCTTTGACAAACAGTGTTTTGGACGGCTGGCTTCTCACATTAGGGGGTCCCCTGGATCCTTGCAATTCCAGCCTGATGGCTCTGCCCTCAATTTCTCGTTTATTACAAGAATTTAAAGCTTCTTTAGCATCTTCACATGAAGCAAATACTATAAATGCATACCCTTTAGATCTGCCATTCTGGTTCGGAGGCACCTTGATAGCAGTTGCCTTCTCAAGCACTTCCTGGAGAGTTTCTTCTGTTGGACTGCAGGAGAGGTTACTGAAAACCAGTGTTTTTGATTCACCGCTCCAGGTACTGCTCTTCTCACCTCTGTGCTCTGGATTTTGACCTTTCTCCCGAGTGTAGTACAAGGATATAGAACGGCCATCAATCTCTGTTCCTTGCTTTTTTTCAAAGGTTTTCTCAGCATCAGCTTCTATTTTGAATTCAAGATAAGCAATCCCTTTACTCTTTCCATCTTTGCTGACTACTCTGATCTCCATGGCATCTTCAAACACTTCTTTTAATTCATTCTGAGTGACTTTGTAAGGCAAGTTTTTGGCCAAAAGTGTTCTGGCATCTCGGTCTTTCTTACCGTCTTTTCCTTTCGGTCTCTCTAGTTTAATTTCATTACCAAAGACCTTTAAACCAGTGAGTTCCAAGGCTTTTTCCAGGTCTTCAGCAGATTCAAAATCCACGTAGCCAAATTTCCTAGTCATACCAATTCTGACATCCATTACAACAAGATCATTTTTAGCAAAAAGGTCACTGAGACCAGTTTTTAATTCTGGAGCAGACTTGTTACAATTCAGGTTTCCAACAAATAGATTGAAAGCTGTAGTTGGTTCTACGGCTTCCACTTTCTGCTTCTTGGCTTCAGGAGAGGCTTTCTGTTTGGCCATTTCCTTCTTTCGTTTTCCAGGTACTTCTCTGACAGGTTCTTCCTCCTCTTCATCGTCATCCTCATCATCTTCCTCATCATCATTGTCATCATCTTCCTCCTCCTCAGCCACACTCTTGGCTTTCACAGGAACCACCTTTGCAGGTGCTTTCTTGCCCTTTGCTGGTGTACTGTCCATGGCCTCTTCTTCAGAATCATCTTCTTCATCCTCCTCCTCATCATCATCCTCCTCCTCCTCGTCCTCATCATCTTCATCATCGTCATCATCCTCCTCGTCATCAAAGTGAGGAGCAGCTGCTCCTTTCGTCATGATTGGCTCAAATTCATCCTCATCATCTTCCTCACTGTCTTCATCATCTTCTTCGTCACTCTCTTCCTTCTTGGCATTCTTGCCATTCTTTGCCCCCTTAGCTGGAAGAGCAGCTCCCTTCTTACCCGAGGTCACCACCACTGCTTTACGTGGGGTGGCTCCCTTCTTGCCAGGTGTTGCTGCTGCTTTGGCTGCTGTAACTGTCTTCTTAGCTGGTATAGTAGTTGCCTTTGCCAGGGGTGACAGCTGCTTTCTTGGACGGTGTGGCAACTACCTTTTTTGTGGGGGAAACCACCACCTTCTTTGATGGCAGTGTGGTATTCTTCTTGCCTTTTTTCTGAGGAATGACAACCTCTTCTCCACTGCTTTCTTCTTCATCTTCTGACAGTTCCTCATCGTCACTGTCTTCTTCTACCTCTTTGGGCAGAGGAGCCAGCTTCTTGGAATCACTTTGATTTTTCCTGGCTTTCACAAGCTTCACCATGATGGCGGCTGGGGACGGTGAAGGATGTGGAGGACGAGTGGCGTAGATAAGACAACGGGAATCCAAACGACATTGATGGTGGCCCGGTTCTGAAGACGCTGAAGCACGCATGCTTGGCTACCAGCTATAGCTCGAGACTGAGATGAAAGCCACAAACTTTTGAAGTCCCCTAGTATGGCCTAGATACCTGCTTCTTAGAAATTCAGTTGCCAAACACAATCAATGTACAGTAAGTAAAAAAGGAAGGGGGAAAAAATCTATTATGTAATGTTTGTATTTAATCCCAGTACATGATTTATCCATGTATTTAAGGCAATAAAGACCCAGATGTAAACGTCTATCCTACAGAGGAAGGCAATAGTCAGTAGTAATACAGTCAGTTATTAATTAATACATTTATGCATTCATTTTTAGAGTACTTAAATACCAGATATTTGTGTTAGATCTTTTATTATGAAAAATTACCCTCTTCCCCACATCCAAATCTTGGGCTCTTTTGGCCAGGCTTCAATCAAAGACTTTGGCTCCAACAAGAACCTAGGCTCAGTTTCCCAATCCTCTCAAGGTATTAGGAGAGAGATGGGAGAGAAAGATACTGCATCTGTTTATCCACAAGAAAGCAAGGAGCAAGAAAGAGGAGCCAAAATGTCTAGGTCCAAGTCAGTTTAGCTCACTGCCTCCTCCCCACATACACTGAACCAGAAAGTTCAAGAGTGGGCTGCACACATCCTTATGACTGTTAACAGACAGTTACCTGGTGTACTAGAAACATGGCTCAGTAAAGGTCTGGAAAGAATGCAACCAGATTATCATTCCCTTTCCTGTAGGACGAAGTTAGAATAGGCAATTGAGAACAAGAGAGTGAGCAAGAGAGTGAGGGAGAATACCAGGCTTTGAAAAGTCCAGGGAAAAACTCCCTTCTCTTTTAATTCCAATTTTCCATGACCTTGAAGCCACTTGTATGTGTAAAGAGGGTGAAACATTCTCTGTCTGTAAGTAAACTAGGGAGTTTATAGCATCTGAAATGAAGGACTCTTGCTGTGGGGCAGTAGGATCAGCATTGGACCGCGAACCACAAGGTCAGAGGTTCAAACCTACCAGCTACTCCTTGGAAACCCTGTACAGAGTTGCTATGGGCCAGAATCAACTTGATGGAACGTCACAACAATAACAAAACTAAGGTACACAATTATATAAAGAAATGGCAGTATGTTTTAATTATTTTAAGATACAGCGGTATTTAAAAAAAGAAAGAAATGTTGATTACTGCTAGTTAAAACTTAGTTTAATCATATAATTGATTTTTCAGTAAAGGCTCTTGGTAATCCATATTTTGCCCTAACACTTATCAAGCTTTGAACTAATGCTTCAAGAAGGCAGAGATCTCTATTTTTGCCCACCACTATATCCCCAGTGCCCGTGCATGCTAGTAAAAGTTTAAGAAATACCTGTTAAACAAATAAACCTGGAGGTGATTTCAGAATGCAAGAACTGTCTTGATAAGCAGAGCTATCTTTATTATACAAGTGACACTCTGCTTACACATCAAATGCTCCACTGAGAAAACGAACAGTCTTCTCGTGGGAAAGGACTGTCCTTTATTTTCTATAGTATTTGGCACCAAGGACAGTGCTTATATTAAAAAAATATCACAAAATATTCTAAATAAAACCCTCATAGATGGGAAATGATATTTCTGCTGTTGAGTAAAATCAGAGAATGGCTTTAAAGAACATCCAGCTTTACTGGGATGCTGCATCAGTGAGCAACCCGGTGCTCTCCCAATGCAGTGTAGACATGTGGGCCCATGTGAAGAAACTAAAGACAGCCCGGGGCCAAACAGCCACCTTCTCCTAGTCTGAACAAAGTCAGTCCTATCTGTGAGGTGAGGAGTAAGGAGAAAAGCTGGATTACTTAAACAGATTGCTACTGTCAGCGGCTCTCTTAATTTTGAGACTTGTACCTGTAATGGGAATTATATCTTTTAACCCCAGATCTTGGTTCTATCAATAACTTAGTCCCTGGGGGCACAAGAATGTGGTTGATGCCTAACTTCTAGAATCATTTCACTGTCTACCCAGGAAGGATATGAGTGTAATGTACAGAAAGGTAGAATTCTCAAAGGGTGGCAAAAATAACTCTCAGGGCTTAGATAATAATGGCAATGCCTTCACTTCTTGAACTTCTCTTTAACCAACTCTAGTTTTGGCTTTCCTAACAAAAATCATTTGAGTCAGAGCTTTTGTTTCATGATGAAACCGGACCTGCACAGTGATAATTCACACTAGTTGGATGTAAGCATATTAAGACTCAAATTTGTCTGCTTGCTCACTGAAATACACGTTAAGTTCTGCTGAGCTACAAAACGCAGGCAGTGCAGCTGAGGCAGTACCAACAGGCAAAGCCCATGTGAGTTTACTCCCGGGCCAGGGCGCTGAGGCAAATGTAGCTGAGAGTAGGCAGGCACTGCTAACCAGATGAAGGGGTGGAAAGGCGGGCTCAGCTCAGACTCTAGTCAGCTCTTCAGCCGTGTTAAACCGATTACATAGCAGTCTGCATCTATGTAAACCATTCTAAAGTAGACAGCTTAGGGGCATCCTTCTTTATTCTCCATAAGCATGTTTTTCTTTTTTAATGTTTTATTGTAAATTATGTGATAGTTTACATGGGAGAACATTAGCTTTACATTCATCCTATCACATATTGTTACACTGCCTTGGTTACAATCCCCTCCATGCATCATAAACCAACCAAAGGGTATACATCCCGCAAGTCTGTCCCCTGGTCATCAGCGCACAGCCCCTCTCCCTCTCTGGGCCTAGAGTTCCCAGCTGCTCCATCTCTCCACATTATCATCTCTGCCTCCATCTCTGGCATCAGTGCTTCTCTGGATAGGGTCCTGTACTCTGCTCTTCTCCCTTGATGGTCCCAGGGACCTCCGCTCCTAGACTACAAAGTCAATCACTGCCGTCCTTTTGCTACAAAATGTCTACCTTTACATTTCCAACCCTCACAGTCAGATCTGATATTATTCACTATTGTACCACATGAGTGCTATCCACATCTCCTTTCATCAGTCCCACCCAGACAGACTGGATACTAACTCAGTGGAGATTCTACCTTCCTCCGCGCCCTCTTGATCTAGGCTCCCTCTTAAAAGCTTGTAAGCCAGTCACTTCTTGCCTTTGTAGCTCCCCCATTTTGGGTAGCCAATGTCCAAGTTGTCCATTCCTGTCTACCCTATGTATCGAGTGCGTGGGAATGATCCTCGCTGTAAAGATTTGTTCCCTCTTTTGAGCTACTATATCCATAGGTATAGGTCAAGTTCATCAAATTGTATCAGATTACTCTTTTTCCTTGTCTTTCTTCTTCTAGTTGAGCTCTGATCATCCAGCCATTGAAGCCAGGTCAAGTGGGTATTACCTACAAGTGTGGGTGTTCTTGTGCATTTGCCCTCTCTTCTTATCAGCTGGATGCTTCATTCTCCACTCTAGTCCTCTGTGGCTATGTCACTGACTCTGGGCCCAGGAATCTCCAGGTCTTGCCAAACTGCTGGGAAACCAGGTCTCCATCTGGGTTCACAGAAGTCTATTGAACGTGGTTAGACTTAGCTCACAGTTCATTACTGTTTTTCCCTCACTTCCCCATATAGGTGACCAATGTGGTCACCAGTCAGTGTGCACGTCTGCTTGTGTATTCCCATTGAGAGTCAGTCTTGCAAGGGGGTTTGCTCTGAGGGAACCTGGCCACTTGCCTTGATGTCTCCTGGATGAACAACTTATTTGTTCTTGGAGTAGTCAGTCAGACTGCTATTATTGTTTTGTATTTTTCCTGTTGGTCTTTCTTTCAAGAAGTATCTTCTGTTCTTCCAGCTGCTCTAGGCTGGTCTGCTTGTCCTGTCTGGTGGAAATTTACTACACCTCAGAAGATTCTGGATGGAGTTCAGGATTCCACCTGTGTTCTTATGTAATGCAGAGGCTTTGCAGGAAACCTCCTTCACTGGGCACACTGTAGCCCCACTTTAGGTATTCCAATCAGTTCTTAGGTATTCTAATCAGAAGACAAACTTACAAGCTATAAGCATGGTTTTGCCACCCAAAAAGCAATGAATCTCCTGAATCTCTCTCCCATGCTCCTGCTGCAAAAGCACCTTGTCCTTGCTTAGCCAACTGTTCTTCTACTTGAAGTAGGCAGAGGAGTGTTCTCTGTGACATACAAGGGAAGCCCATATTCAGTGCACACTGGGGCTTGTTTCTCTCAGCTTTGCCACTTACTCTGTTGCACATACAAGGGAAGCAAGATGGAAAGAGCAATCTCTGATGGAACTTTCTAAAACTTCATGGCGGCCCTAGTAGCATGTGTTAACTATTCCATTACTGCAGCTATTCGCTAATCCTGCTTCAGTCCCATAAGCATATGAGCGGTGTGTCAAGGTTATAAAAATCATTTTGTAGAACCCTGTTACCACCTAGCTTGAGGGGAGTAACTGTTTTGCTGATACTGCTTTGTTTTACTTCTTTTCAGATTACAAAATAGTCCCATAAGAGGGGCCTTCAAAAGATTTGTGGAAAAGGGAGTTAAAAGACAATAGACTTTTCCCATGAACCTTTTGAAGGACCACTGTATATTCAAAAAAAGATTTGGTAAATATAGGAAAAACATAATCTCACTAATTGGAGCTGCTGGAAACTGTGTGAGTGTTTTCCATTAATCTGTATTGAGTCAGAAATTGACTGAGCCACTTAAAAATCTTTCTGAAACACTTCTGTTTGCCTAAGTCAACAGCTCACAGCAGTCATTAAAGCAGTATAATTCAGTGTCTGAGAGAGGCACCATGCCCCAGCCTTTGCCTACGTGCAAAGCAGCTTACCTTCAATCAGCTGAGACAGCTGTGTCCCTGTTACCAGGGCTTCAGTCACATCACTCTTTCGAGAGGCCTTTCGGTAACGGATTTTGTAGCCTGTAATCTGCCCATTTTGTGCGGCTGGAGGGGGAGGCTGCCAGTGAATCATAATACTCTGGGAAAGACAAGATTATGGGGAGGAGACTGAATAGATCAAAAGCTAGGTCCAAACTATTTCATGCTTCAGGGTCCTGATTTCACTGTGCTAAAGGTAAGGAAAATAAAGGCAATAGGGTAGTCTGAATTTTACAAATTTATTTAAGAATTAATATGCGTTAATTTAAAATCCCATAATGATCCCGATGATGATCTAGCACGATGTGGGCCCTTTATCTCTTGGATGTTTTACCAGAATGAAGACGCTGAAGCCTCAGCCAAGTTTTCAGAGGAAAATACACGAAAAGTCAGAGGCATCTTCTTGGGCTAGGAAGTACACTATTGTTAGATGTAAAGGTTCTTTCTCATCTCCAATGTTTCAGAGCTGATATCCAACTATTAGTATTTTAAACTGTTCATAAAAGGAATAGTTACTAAACAGCTGGTTGTTTCTTAAAGAGGAAAAGGAATCCTGGAGTACTTTGTCAAGGGCTGAACATTCATTCCAGCTGCTGCTGTTGCCAAGGAGGAGTTCTGGACCATTAAGTGGTACAAACAGCTCTTTGTGTACAGTGTGTGAGAACTTGAGCAGGAGGGGTAGACTAAGCACAGACCACCAACCTGACAGGGGTCTGTCTGGGTTCACGCACCGGCTCAGTTCACAGACCTAAGGGACTAACTTATCATAAATGACTTTCTGTCACATCACCATGGTTCTGAACCAGTCAGATCTACAATGTCATGATTTACACAACAGCAGTTTCTATGAAGACAGGCTAAAGCGAGGTTGGCATCAGAAGCAGTGAAGTTGAACAGGATAAAAGTTGAACAGCTTCATTGGCCAGCGTAATACTGGTGTCACCTTCTTTCTCTGATTGTTTTTGTTTGCACTGTTGATTTTGATTTTGGTGATTCTTTTATGATTGTTTTTGGTGGCACTGTAAGATCAGCACTAGATTGCGAACTAGAAGGTCGGCAGTTCAAACTCACTAGTTGCTCCTTGGAAACCCTAAACCGGGGTCACTATGAGTTGGAAACTACTAGACGACACTTAACAGCAACAACAACAACGTATTTTCAGAAGTGTATTATTACTTTGGCATTTGTTTAGATAACCTTCCAATGAATCCCTCCACAAGTCCTTCTGAGGTTCAATAAGAGACCAGTAAAAATGAGCAGCAGCAATATAAGGTTTTACCTTTGAATTTCTCACTTCTAAGGACAGATTCTGAGGAACAGCACTGGGAACTAGACAGGCAAAAAAAAAAAAAAAAAAGGTTAAAAAAAGATTCCTTTTTCCTAATCACCCACACATCACCCATTATGAGACTGGTCTTCACCAGACTTCACACAAACGCACATCTCAAACAACACTTAAGCAGCTGAAGGTCTGAAGCCAGTTGCCAGTCAGTCCCCTCATGTTAATAGTACTATGGTGATGAGGTGTGGCCATGTTTGATTCATTTTTAAAAACCAAAGACATTCATATGTATACACCCATACCAAAATCAGCTTGCATCATAAGAAGATAGATACTTATTTCAAGAATGTGCCAGTGACTTTATAGTTTTCCAACTCTCTTCTTCCAGATGTGTTCTGAACCATTTGAATATTCTTAGTGTTAGCCTATCTTTGTCTTGGGAAAGGGCCATACGATTTCTGTTACCAAGTCTAATAAATATGACAAATGAATGAACTGAGTAATATCATTATGGGTCCCAAATGAGATGTACTAACTCAATGAGCTTGGTTTTCTTGTAGGACTCCTAAGCTGGTTTTGAAAGCAGTGCTCAAGAAGAGATATTTAAGTAATGGCAGCTTCAGAAAAGCAAGCCATATGGTTTCCCAAGGTAACTACATAGCAGGGAACATTCAATAGATGTGAGAAGTGTGAGATTGTTGGTTAAACCAATTGCTGCATATCCTTAGTTCCCACATATCAGAATATAAAGCAAGGTTTCTCAAAGTTAATGTCCCACATGTCCTCCAGCATTTCCCTTCCTAGTGACTATAGCAAATAAAGAAAACTTAGGTAGAACTAATCCATTTCCTCTCCACTCACAGAATGCCAACCCAAGTCTTTCTTCCCTAATCTACCTGTGGAAATTGATCTCTTCTTCTTTCTGATACTTGGTGATCAGGTATATAACCAAGCGTCCACTATACTGTAAGCTTTTGGGGACAAAGACTATATATTTTATTTTTGTACAATGCATCTGGGATAGGACTTAAGCATTTGCATTTTGAAAACAACAACAACAGAAAGCTCTACAAATTATTGCACTTATAGCCCTGTTGAGAACCTCCAATTTCATTGCAGAGACGCACCCAGTTGTTTCTGCAGTACCATCATCAGCACCAGCTAAGAGTTGCTGACTGCTCACTACATGGCTAAGTATTTTACATTTGTCTCACACGTAATCCTCTGAACTCCCACAGAGGAATTTCTATTCCTGTTCTCATTAGATAGATACGGTTCTGGGCAGTTAAGTAATTTGCCCAAAGCAATTGACTGTTACAGGAACCAACGTTTGTCTTACTAGGAAGTACTGCCTGTCACCATCATAAGACACAGCCAGTTCCTATGACAAGTACTATAGTCAGCAAACCAACCCACTTCATCCAGTTCAAATTTGGCTCATGTACAGATTTAATTTCCAAAAAATCAGCCAATGAAAACCCTATGGAACAGTTCTACTCTGGCACACATGGAGTTATTATGAATCAGAGTTGATTCAACACTAAATGCTTTTACAGATTTAAAATCCTACATTTAAAAAATTACAACCCCCAAATCTCAACTTTTATCTCAAAAAATTTAGAGGACTTGGAAAAGTGGCAAAAATAGCACAATGAATACCACAAATTCTTTCCCTAGATTTACCAATTGCTCATTTCTCTGTGTATTTTCTCTCGCTCTCTCGCTCTCTCTCTCTCTCACATACACACACACACACACACACACACATACACACACAGACTCCCAAATCATCTGAGAGACAGTTGCAGTCATCATGGTGGTTGGTGGTTGTGTGTCGTGAAGTCGGTTTCAACTCATAGCAACCCTGTACAGGGATTCCAAGGCTGCAAATCTTTATGAGAGCAGAAAGCCTCCTCTTTCTCCCGCAGAACAGCTGGTAGTTTATAACTGCTGACCGTGAGATTAGTAGCCCGACTTATAACCATTAGACTAGGCTATCAGAGCTTCTTGGTCATCATGATGTCATTGTTGTGAAGTGCTGTCGAATCGATTCTGACCCATAGTGACTCTGTATAGGGTTTCCAAGGAGTAGCTGGTGAGCTTGAACCACCGACCTTGCAGTTCATATGACTCTGCAGTCTGATGCATTAGCCCACAGCGCCACACCAGGACTCCAGTCATCGTGATACTCACTCCTAAAGACTTCAGGACCTACTTCTCAGAACAGAAATATTCTTTGACATAACTACAATACCACGATCACATTCAGAACACTTAGTATTAATTCAAAACTACTGTGCCTAATAACATACCTAATATTTAATACTGTCTAACACTATAAGCAGCCACCACCCGTCTGTCAGTTTGTCATACTGTGGTGGCTTGTGAGCTGCTGCAATTCTGAAAGCTATGCTATGTCACTGGTATTTTAAATACCAGCAGGGTCACCCACGGTGGACAGGTTTGA